AAAATGGAAGTTGGTATCTCCAAAATACACTCCTTATAAGAATAGTACAAAAAATTTCAAGAATTTAAAAACATGATCTTAAAGTAGGTAAAAAATTCAAAAAATCAAATACTTAATTATTGTGTTATTGAACAAGAAAAGGGGCGAACGTGCTTGGTAAATCACCTTATGTTATATATATAATATATACACACACACACAGGTACCTACGTATAGCCGCCACATGAAGATGTAAATTATTTTTACATTCACTCTGTACACGCGTATTCACATTTATATGTATACATATGTGTTTGATGTATATGTATAATAATATACCTAATAATATATAACCGGGTCCCGCGTCGTAGTGTCGCATTCCTAAAATATTCATACGGTCATGGTCGGAACATCAATCATATGTGCGTGTGTGTGAGCGCGGCTTTCGTATTATAATTCTATATTATACACACCTGTTTGTATGTGTGTGTATGTAAAGTGTAAGTGGTGCAGCGGCGAGCATTTGTCATCGCCGCCGACTGCCGAGAGCTGGTGTTCTTTGGGCGATCCGCGCACACAAAGCACGTACGTCAATCAAAACGTATAAAATAAAAATGATAATAATAAAAATATAAACGCATACATCTAATCCGCGTGTCCGTCGTCGTCTTGTGTTGCGTGTATTATATTTTCCCCAAGTACCCATAAGCGTTTTGACGATTCGCTCGTGTTTTATACTCGCGACATAAATCCCTACCAAACAAATTGATTAATATAGACATAAGGAGACCTTGGCGTCGGAAAAAATTTCCAATCAAAATACGATTGTCCAAAACAGAAGTGCGTTCAAATTCAAATCGCGTTTATGCTTATATAGCTAATAGTCATCTGGCATAATATATGTATATTATGCATTTATCTTTTAAGTGGCGTGCACACTAAAATACAAATCTATGAACCGAGAAAAATATTTCCGTATAAGCTTAAGTGTCTGTTCAGTGAGACTTTTGACTTACCAGTTGCACCGTTTTTGGACCTGGCAGATGTCTAGTTTTTTTTTTTTCAATATATCACTTGAATATAAATAAACCATTATTCGATTACAATGTTTTATTGTTTACCTGTTCAAAAATGTTTAATATATTAATATGCATAACACACTTATATATACCTACAATATGAATGCAATTACTTACAAACAAAATCAGAAACATAATATAGACTTATGGTTTATTCACAAATCACAATAAATATTGATAAAGGCGAGTTATCTCGATTACAACATTTGTATTTTGACATGGGTTTCTCATGAACTGGATTTCTCTAGATAACAATGAACTACCTATGATGATAATTTGTACAACCAAACCGGGTACAAGACGAGAAAATAATTAATTTTATTAGTTGCTTCGCAATAGACTGGATATTGAAGAAAAATAGGTGAAATAAAGTTAATATTTTCTGAACAATAAACATGTAATTTATTTCATAAAAAAATGACGATATAAAGCCTCCACTTCTTTTATACTAAACGGTAAAAAATAAAACAAATGCAAAAAACAAGAAATTCAATATAAACAATCACCCTTCAACCTGTATCATTATATATTTATGTGTATTAATAAAATTGCAAAAAATGTTCAGTCTGATTCCAATATTTAATCAAGAATATTTTTTTTGGAAGAAAAGTGAGAGTGCACACTGAATTTTAAATACCTACCTATATTTATAATTATAGTAAACACAGTAAGTACTAGGTATGCACAAATATGAAAATCATATAACAATCTATACATAAATATAATAATACATGGTACGTTGATAGGTACACACTTTATAATTGATTGGCACAAAAATATACACTCGACACTTTTTAAGTGTGTCCAAATTATAATTTAATACTAAAATGACGCCACACGACAGTTCAATATTCACCATCAACATGAGCGAACTCAAATAATATACAAATTATTAACAGACATCTTCGTGTAGTAAAGTAATATTTTAAATATATTAATAATTATTTTAGATAGATAACCAAATTCGTCTTTTTTATGAATATAAAATATTGTTGCACAAATTCTCAGACCACCTGACTACACAAAACGTACACATATGGAATAGAAACCATTCCCTGGATAACTAATATTTTAATAAAGTTCCTCCGACCACGTTACAATTTTTATATTAATCTATATTCAATATGATTTACAGTAAAGGTACTATAGAAAAATAACAATGTAATTATTGTTGTTTATATATCTTAAAAAAAAAAAATTAATAATTTACCAGCCATAGTGTTAGTGTATTGAATATGACAAGACTATATCAATGTTGGATAAACTAAATGGATGAACACAAAAATCAACAATTATGAACCATCAACGCTTAAATCATCCTTGGTAAATATATTAATTACTAGGTACATATATAATAAGTGGAACTGTGGAATTGAAAATGGTACCAAAAATATTATTTAATATATTTATTTCTTATATTATGCTAGTAACATAGGATAAACAGTGATACATCAACCAATTTATCACTTTATCCGAAGATATATTGATTAATACGATATAATATGAATAAATCACCTAGATAGAAAATTAATTTTAACATGTAAAAGTAGATATATACGAAAATATGGAACGATAATGATATAAATCCCATGTACCTATAGGCTATAAAAGCCAATTATAGAATATATACATAATCTATTAATTTATACTAACCATTTTGCTATACTTACCTATTATCTTAGTAATTTTTTAACATTTATTATGAAAAAACTAACAAGAAACAACTATTTCATTTTCGACGATGTTTGGGTATAGTCAAATCTTAGTCAGAGCTCAGAAGCTATAAGCTTCCTTTTGGTTGCACCATTGTTCTCATGAAAGGCTTAAGTTTTTTTTTGTACTGTATTAAGCTTAGGAGTGCACTTGTGCTTTAATTACATCATTTATGTAAAAATAACTATGAGCATTATCTACCTATCACAATAATGATGGCGCATAAGTGCCACGTTAAAAATGTGACACGATGTGATTTTTATGTCCTATAAAATATGCATAATGTCATTATATAACTAAAAAAATGTAGGTACATACCGTGTTTTAATGCGCATGTCCATCATGAGTACTTAACATTTTATTATATTGTACCTATCAGAAATAAATGTACGAATAAAATTTCCTTTGGCTTTTTAAAAAAAAAAAAATCTAAATATTATATTAATAAGTACCTATTAAGAAAGTACTAATCTAACGTTTGCAAAAAAATATACTTTAGTACGTTACGTCACCGTAACGGTACTTTGAAAGGGTGCCAGGACTCGTCGAGTGTATTATATACACGCGATTAATCCGTTCTCCGGGTCCTACACTATTGTTTCGTCGATGACTATATAATATTACAATATAATATATTCGTATATCTCAGGACAAAACGATTTATACACAGACTATACTGTTGTATAGTTATAACTCATAAGTGTATCGAAAAAAAAAATTATAACACAATATTATATCGTCGTATACCATTACGCGCGAGTATAAGCTGTAGGTACTAGAAAGAATTAACTCTAGTACGGAGAGATTTCACATGTTACGCCGCATGATACTTGGTTTTTTTTCCGTGCGTGTGCGTCGAAAGAAAAGAGGGTTTTACTTAATTGTTTCTGTTTAGACGGATCAACGAAAAGAAACACCATCTATACCGCTTTAAGTATTTCCATCTACTATATATTATGCTATTGCAGCGAGATCGATTAAATAATATTGTCTAGAACAAAAAATAATTCACTCAATATTATAATACGTTTATATCGCGATATGCCGATATAGATAACCTATATATTTATTGTCAATATTCGATCCATGACAGTATGATATGTTCATTTACGGAACAGGTTTCGTAACTAAATTAACTTGTATTGAATACAAATTCATACCTTTAGACTATAGAAACGTTTCGACTCAGCTAAGTCTTACAACTATACAGTATCTATACGCCTACATAATACAGTACAGGCTGAAAAAGTTTTTGTTTGTTTGTTGTGCGATAGGCAGATACCTATATGGCCTGATCTACGAAATTTACATTTATCATTATTCATTAGGTATATGGTTCATAGTTTGGTGAATAAATCCATGTATAGTTAGGTAGATAATCTTTAACGTTATACATACACGTACATATAGCCGTCATATTTTCGATTCGCGTACCGGACACTTAATATGTAGGTGAATAAATGTCTGTATTGTATGACACTAGTTGTATTCCACTTAACACTGAAACCCGATAAAATATTAAAAACTAAACACAGTAATGCGATGATGCGAACAGTACATTCGAAATTCGTATTTTTCACCATTCCACTGAATGTTATACTTGTACAGTAGTCACTCACATAATCACATCACTTAAAAACTAAATTTTGGTACCTTACTTCAGTCCCTGTAATAGAATACATAATAACGAAAAATGCATATCAAAAACTTATAAATAATATTTACTTACTAATAAGTAGTACCTATTTACCAAAAAAATAGGTAAGTCAGTCATCATCTTCAAATCTAAAATATACCTATACCAAATAACTGAAAGACAGACAAGGTGCACAAACTGAAATCGTCAATGTTGTATCTTAGTTTTGAAAACTGTATAAATATATCTATGGCCTACCTACCCCACAAACCCATACACTTATACATAAAAGCACATACTAATCTATGACTATAAAACAATCTGAAATGACCAATTCATATTATATTATTTTAGAATCATTAAAACAACATTACTTGCATATTTAAAAATTATAGGTATGAAAATATAGAGTAATTAAATACAAAACTCTGTTAATAACACATGGAACATAAGTATAATTTTTTTTTAATAAATATTGAAAAACAATCATTTTATAACACTTAAAAATAAAATAATACAGACATTACACAAGGATAAAGACATATAGAAATAAAAATTAAATTAAATTAATAAGTAGTAGAGAGCTTATAATATATAGTATAAATAATTAATGAAAATAAATAAATATAATTTAACTTGTTATTAAGAAAATTGAAAAAAATCACAAAACAATGTTTGATCATTTCTTAGAGAGAGCTAAAAGTTGAAACACCTTGTGACTGATATCCAATCATTTTCATATTCCACTTGATTCCTCACTGAAAACCATAACACTTTAATGGTTTCATTAACTTAAATATAATATTATTATAGTAAATTATAAATGTATTTTGTACGAAACTAATCTCAGATGTTATTGCAGATAACCTATTGACTCATATAGAAAATTAAATATCTAAATACTCAATTATAATTTTTAAATGAAATCAAACAGATAATACCTCGATTAAATGTGAAAATTTGTTTAAATTTTAAAAGAATAATTGTTATTTACATTATTTAATAAAAATGATATGACGTGTTTACTAATATAAATTTGTTTACAGTATATTTTTTAATTCTCTGTAATTAATTAATTTTTCCCAGAATTTCATTATGATGTTATATTTAAACAACGTCTAATTATAAAGTGTTGTAATGAAATGTAAAAAATATTTTGAAGTAAAAATAATAAGTGAAATCAATCATTTCATACTCTAGTTTTTATTTTTTGCAATACACAAGGCATTATGATTCAGTTTATCTCAAACCTCAGCATTAAAAATAATAAAAAATTATTTTAATTTTTACTTACTCTCTATTCTTAACACTCAATTCTGCAGCTTTATTCAATATAACACGTGTTTCAACATTGGGATAATTCTGTAAAAATTATAAGAATTAATATAAAAAAAGCTAAATATACTAAAGTATAATTATTAATAATTAATTATTAAACAACCAAATTACTTGTAAAAGTTTGACAATTGTCGAAAAATCTGCTGCTAATATTTGTTCTCTGACTAAACTGTAAAAAATTGAAAAAATATAAATAGTATAATTAATTAAGAATGATTATTTAAAAAAATTGTCTCCTCATAAGAAATTCTCGAGAACCTTAGAATAAAAAACAACAACAGTCCAATATTTTTAGTCTCCTCAAAATGGAAATATCAGTAAGTTCTAAGTGATTCCATTATAAGTAGATTTTACTGTATATTGTTTAAATAATTCAATATTATTATTAATAGTATTATAATCAATGAAAAAATTTAAACTAAAAATATAATTTATTTATTTTCATATTTTTATTTACTTTTAGATATGAATTCAAATTATAATTTATAACTTGATACCTTCTCAATATAGAAAATGAAAGTTCAGCTAAAAATAAACTAATTCATTTTCAAAGCTTCTTTTAGCAAGTTTTTAACAATCTATTATAGTATCAGTGAAAAAAATGAAATCATATAAGAGAATAATCTAGTATTGTACACTATTATACAGGATTTAGTAAAGTTACTTTCCTAAAATCCTCTAAAATATGTGTTAATACTAAATAACTAAATATTATTGTAATAACCAAACAAAACATACACTATCATTGCACAGCAAATATCAATGAGAAATGAAAATCGCTGTGAGTCAGAAAATAGTGAATCCCATATCCTTAAAACTTCTGGCAGAGAAAATTCTTGAGATAATAACAGAGTCAACCACCTAAAAAATAATATAAATTAAAGACAAACAGTAAAATTAATTAAATAATAGAATTTATGAGACAAAATAACCATATTAGAATAAAAAAGCCACTGAAAAAAAATCCAATCCACAAATAAAAAAAGCACCAAATAAAGCTATACAAAATATCTCATTACATGAGTTCCACTTTCAACTTTTTTAATCACCACTCTATCCACCATCAATGAGGAATATTCATCAAACCAACAACCAAACAAAAAGGTGAAACCATTATTTTTCAAAATTAGTAGGTCACAATCACCCTTCTGTTAGAGCACTAATTAAGAAAATGAGATTAAAGTTGTCTTCTGACAAAAAAAAATTGGCCCAATTTCCAATGGACAAAATTCAAAAAAAAAAGAAAAAGCCTTAAGAAAACAAGAACAATTTTATAAAATATGCTGTAATGGTTTAATGCAACAGACAGTTGATGAATATTTGACAACTATTACATAACACAATTATTTTAATTATTATTAAATTAATTTTTTAAATTTTTTGTTTTCATTAATTATTATTATTTTTGTAAGTCATGTTAAATAATGATTATAAATTTTAAAATAAATAATAATACATTGCAGAAAATTGTTTTAGAACAAAAATAAATTAATATCTTTTTTATCCGTGGCTTTTTTGTCAGTGAATTTTTTATCCTAAATTTCTAAACAACTTACCTAAAACTATAGTACTGAGGGTAAATTTCATTTTTGACTAAATAATTTAAAACAACTGGGTCATTTTCTTTTAACCTGTCCGTGACTTTACGCATCATGTTCACAATCCCAGAGTCAGTTTCATCTAATGTCTTTATGAAAAAATCACGAATTTCAGACATAAGATTAGTAAAGACAAAAAAACAGTCAGCCTCGGCATGCTCTAAAAATGATTAAAAGTAAAATAAAATTATATTTATTTTTCAAAATTTACATTTGCACAGGATTTATGTATTTATTTATTATGCTGCAAAATCATAACATAATTTTTTTATCAATTAACAACACATTAGAACCTTACTAAACAATAAATAATTAAATGTGTTCAACATAGATGATTAATAGAACTTCTATACTTAAAAAATTATATTTTGTCAATTTTAATGTTATTATTATATTATACATAATAACTCATTTTAAATACCAGGTGTTCAATAAGTTTGGAAACTCTTAATTAATATGCATATTTTAGTATTTACATGGATCAATAACAGACAACACTGCTGCTATATATTTATAATGTGTAATATTTAATAACCTCAATAATTATATTATATTATAATTAACAGAGTGAATAATCTAATATCATTTTCAAGCCTATTAAAAAAATTAATATTTTGACTGGAAATTAAATAAAAAAATATTTTCAAAAATGAAAAATGTTAATAGGTTTTGAAACAATGAGTGTAGTTTAATAAAAAAAATCACCTAATATACATATAAATAATTATTAACCAATATGAGATTAAATATATTATATGTTATTAGAGTATTAGACTAAAATATGTATAATCAATGCAGTAAGTTACATACAAATACCTACATCAAAAGAATATAATTTAATATTTTTAATATTTATACCTTTCATTTTAATAATTGGATCAGTAGCAAAACAATAATAAATTGGACCAATTATTTCATTCATTCCTTGTACATAACCCTGTCCTGGGTTTAATTTGCAATAAACAAACAATATCCTCTCCACCACCTCCCAATGTGCTTCAGATCCTTCTTCAAGTGGCTTGAATTCAGAAGTACTAGTTTGTTCAGCTTTTGGGGATATTTTAACAATACCAAGACCTTTACGTACAACATTTGCACTATTTAGAAAATGCATACCCACTCTTCTGTTCAACCGTTTTGTACCACAACTGTATACAACATTAGATAATGGATAATCAGTTGCTTGTTGGAAGAAAGATAATTCAGGATGTAATCGTCTAAAAATTTCAAAAATAATTTTAAATCATTCCTTCGCATTCTGTGAACTAAACCTATGAATTATGATACCTACCTGACATCTTTATCTATCTGTGTAAGAGCTTGATTATCTTTAAAAAAAGTATTCCACTTGCTGTTAGGATCCTCATTCAATGGATGATCACATTCTTCATTATCAAATGAACCTGGAGTGACTAATATTTCATCTAATAAAAAAAAATATTCAGTAATTGATAAATCATTAATTATATTTTCTAGTTTTAAAAAAAAAAATTAAAAAATATAAATATATACTTTTTTTAGTTTATAAGTTTTTTTTAATTTGAACCTAATTTTACAGTAATGCATGTTTTTTTTCATGATTCTGATGCTTTATAATTGTATTCTTTGTAACCTTCAATACATATTATAACACCCAAGTTATAAATATAATAATTTGTACTTAAATTATTTGAGTATAATAATCTACTTATAAATATTTTCAATAAATCCACTCAAAGATCATAGGTAGTATATGTATAGATGAATAATCATACATAATCAGAGTTTTAAATTCAAAGTCTTAATACCTAATAGAAACATTTAAAATGGTTAATTTACAGAAATTATTTAACAAAATTATTTAGCTAAACCTACTTTAGCAACAATAAGCAAATAAATAATAATATACTAACATTATATTTTACACTACAAACATTCTGTTAACTTCATAACACATTTAACTTTTATCTTTAACATAAAACAAACTATTAAGAACTTTTGGTTAATTCAAAATATAGCAAAAATTGTAGTTAAAGTATTATTACTAAACTCTTATGCATAATTCATTTAAGCAGAAAATTTATATTTTTGTCGACTTTTTCTTTCAAATCATAGTGATTGATTGATTCAACGATTTTTAGAATATGAAAAGATTTAATGTTTGCAAATTTATTTTTTTGGACAGTTGAAACTTAAATTACCTAACCACTGCTGGTATAATTTTCTATGGTGGTCTAGTTGTTCATCCCACTTATTTCTATCACATGGTAAATAATTGAGCAACAATCTCCAACATAACGATCTGTAACCTTTAACATCAGGAATACCTATAAAAAATAACACAACATAGAAGAATACTAGAATAACTACAAAGAAATAGTTACATTGAATAATAATTACCATTGAAACAGAATTCTCTAAGTTTTGAAAGATCGATCACTTCTGATTCCAATACTTGGTCAAGATCCTTCAACCTAAGAAAAATATATTAATTTCATCAAGTCAGTACTGTTGAATTATTAAGTCCAAACTATCTTAAAATTTACCTCAAATCGTATGAAGACATTATGAACAGCGATTGTCGAAAGATTTTCTGAGGACCTGAAATTGACCCAATTAAAATTTAAACACATACCAGACGTCAATTGATTATTATTATTTTTTGATATTAAAGAGGCCGCTAAAGATTAAAAAAACTCTGGTCTGAAATGGAATTCAGTTTATTAATTTTACCAGGCATTGCCCGTTTAAATCGTTTTATATTATCAAAAGTTTCGAAATAATAACACGGTTATCTTATCATAAATAAGAAAAAACTATAGTCTGTTTAATGTTTATTCTTTGATTTTTTTGAATTGGAGGCAGTGACCATAATAATATAGCGAGGCATCTACTATAAATTTATTAAATTTTAATTTTAAATGTTTTTATGAAATGTACATAAACTATAAATTGTTATTGCTCACCACCTAATTTTCGGTATTCTGTTCCTATACATAAACCTGTCAAATCGATATTTATCGTGGATGGCAATGTGGTATTAACAAAATCGACTACGAAATAGTAAAAACAATAAAACGAGTTTTTTCATTTTTTAACTAAAATGGACTGTGATAAACAGAACGATATACTGTTGTATATACCGACGTTAATGAATGTAGAAAGTAAGTTCACCACAAATTTGACTTAACAATGTTTAATATATATATATATAATAATAATACTTACAATGTTTGATATACTATTGTATTATAGCTCAGGAATGCTATGATATTTTGATGAAAAAGACTCACATGATTGGTCGTGCTGGATTTGGTGCTGATCTAGAAATATCAGATGATACATCCATTAGTCGTTGTCATGCACATCTCATTCTTCTTAAAAAAGTATGAATAGTATAGTCTTATTTTATTGATATTTGCCATTTGATATTCTAAATGACTTTCAGTATTAATTCGTCATTTTAAATTCTAGATATTTGGCAGTAAAGCAAAACTTTTTTTGATTCTTGAGGACAAAAAATCTAAATATGGAACATTTATAAATGATTTTGATGAACGAATTATAAGTGATTGCCCTAAAATTTTAAAGTTTGGTGACAAAATTCGTTTTGGCATATTGAATAGCATTTGGACGTAAATAAATCTCAATAATTAACTACTATCTACTAAGGTGTATACATAGACCTAAATCATCAATACTTATTTTATTACAGTGTTGTGAAATATCCTTTAATTGTTTGTCCATCAACATTAAAAATGGCTGATAAAGAAATATTGAAAAATTTAATGGAAAAAATTGGAGGACAAGTTTCACGTGATTGGTCTGAAAAGTGTTCACACCTCTGTATGAATTCTGTTACTGTTACAGAAAAGGTAAATTACGCCTATTAATTGTACCTACCTAATTTATATTTTTATTTTATTTTATTAAATTTTAATATTATTTGTACCAAATCAATAAGTATTAGGTATAATATATCAGCTAGATTAAAACAACATTTTGAATGGATTATAGAAGACTTATGCATTTGTGGGAAAAATATTGTAGTTAATAAAAATATGGTTGAAATTGAATCAATCTAAAAATGAGTTATACTATATTCTGACCATTTTTTTTCATATAAAACACAAGAAAAATATCTGATTAAAATTTTGACAGAAAAATATATTTTAAAAATGAGAGAAATATCTATATGCTTATTGTAATGCATATTTATTCTACTGTTGTAATTTATTATAACTTATCTATAAATATTTTATAATCATATATATGTATTGAAGTATAAATTTATCAAAAATTATTGTAAGACAAATCTATACTCTATCCAGCAAGAAAACACAGATTCTATACATCCTCATTCCTCACATTACACTGGTATCACATGGAGGCGTTCAGAAAAACTAAATTTCAACAGTCTGCTATGTGTTTTCTTGCTAGCAGAGTTTAAAACTTCATAATATTAGTATATCTCCACAATAAAAAAAAATCAATAACTATTAAAATAGACTGTCTAAATTATATTAAAAGTACCACAATAAAGAAGTGAATATAGAAAATGTTTTTAAAGGAATAAATTATTTAAAAAAATATATATATATTTCTTTTTTTTTAAAGTACAACAGATATATTTTTCCTTTGACCATACTATATACATATATAGTATATTAAACATTTTTTTCTGTTTCAGGTGTTATTATGTTTAACATCTGCAAAATCAATAGTACTCCTAAAATATTTTATTGATTTACATGAAGCATTATCACCTGATTCATTGTCAGAGTTACCATTCTGTGTGGATTACAAGCCTAAATTGGTCGAAAGTCTTTTAAACCCGAATTCGTTGTCATTAGATGTGAATATCAAACGTAAAAAATTATTTTCTGGAAAAACATTTATATGTTCTACGATTAATCAATTAAATCGTATTTCAAAATTAGTAAAATTAGCAGGTGAACACAGTTTTACAACAAACGGTAATTTGTAAGAAACATTATATAATATTTTGTAATTTAGGTGGAGAAATAATGAATTATTCTGATAAAACGTTATCTGATGATGATATCTTAAGCTGTTCAAACTATATTCTAATGCAACAAGACTCACGAAGTACGGAAGTTAATAATACCTATCAACGGATTCTGGGTAATTTTTCTTGATGTCTATGAAATATTAGTAGCTAATCAATTATGTGTGAGATGGTTAAAAATAACAAATAATATATTTAATCAAATGTGTTTTTCAGAACTAAAATGAGGTTTTAGCTATTGTAATTTCTACCAAATATGAAAATTTAATTTATAAAGCTGTATTTTATGTAGTTATAAACACTTTGAAAAGATTGAATGAAAACTTGTTTTTCTATACATATTTCTTATTATTTACACATTAATTGTGTTAAGTTAGTTTTCAAAAGCAAAAATATTTACTCTTATTATTGTGATATTTGTATTCGTAATTTATAATAAATTATATAATATAAACTTGATAATATTAATTAACTATTATAATAAATATTAATATACACTATTTTTCTCAAAATTTAGTTGTAATCTATAATTACTAATCTATCTAAGAAATTTTAAAATGTTGATGTTTTAATTTATTAACAATTATTGTGTTACATTATTATTAATTTTAGAAAAACTTAGGATAATGAACAAAAGATCAATACCAGAGAATGAAATAGGATTTGCCATTATTTTTTCAAGTACTGCAAGACATTGTAATGTTGATTTCAATGTTTCTTTAGTTAATCTTGAATCTCAATCCAATGTGATTAAATCGCAAGAATCTATTATCTTAGCTCCTGAAACTGAGGTACTTCAATAGTGTAGCTCTATTTATATAAAAATAAAAGTTATTGGGATATTTATTTTTTTGTTCTTTTTGTATTTCAGGTTTTAACTGTTAATGATAGTGAAATATTTTCAGTTAATACCATACCAGATTCTATTGTAGACACACAATGTGCCTTTAAAAGGTATTTTTTTTACCTACTAATTTAGATTTGGTATGTATTTATTATTTTATATTTTTATTAATAATTTTTTAGACCATTAGAAGTGGTAATGGATTCTGAAGAAATTATAATACCAACAAAACGTCCCTTATTGGCAGACAATGAAGAAAAAATGAACAATATTAAAACACTAAGAGTTGAAGAAGATTTACATCTGTCTCAACGAGTTATTGAACCAACTCCATCCAGTAGTAACCATGATATGCAATGTCCTGCATCTAAAACCTCAACAGTTGATAACGTTTTTACAAATAATAATTCGTGTTTAACCGCAGTACCTAGCTCACTCTACATTTCAAATTCTAACCAATTGTCAACTTGGCTTAAAGGCACTGTAGCTGAAAATAGTTTGAACAATGCTAATAATTTACTTTCGAAGACTACTGAAAACGAGGCAGTTTCTACTGTTCCTACTAAAAGAAAGATATCAAATAATTTCTCAATCTTTAATAACGAAAATGAAAACCCGTTTGACTATTTGGATATCGACGAAATTGAAGAACACCCAAAAAAAAAGCCAAAAAAAAGAGTGTCAGATTCATTATTTCTTTCTGTTGTTGACTCATCATCCAATAATAAAGATGAACCATCTAAAACTGTGAAAAATAATGTCAATGACGAAGCAGTAGATCCAAATTTCATAATGAATTTACTCTCTGAAGCTAAAGGAACTGGACAGTTCATAGATGCGAGTATACTCTCTGAAAAATCGGTAAAAAAATATATAAAATTAGTAGTGACATAGTATGTGTTTATAAATATAATACCATCTATACCATTAGTTATAAATGCTACTAGTATTTACTGTTTTATTATATTAACCTGTTAATATTTCAGTCTGCTGATAAACACGAAGATACTGAACATGATTACAATTCTATCATTGTGGAAACTAAAAATATGGTAGTGTCCAAAAATACACAAATTACAAACTTCAGTCAACAAAATAACACTAATCTTAAAAACTTCAAGAAATTCAAAAAGGTAACTGTTAAAATTTGTTCTAACTCTTCAGAGATTGAGGGAAAAAGCCCCTTGGTAAATAATTATTAAGTAAATTCAATTATATGTGTTATTACATTACATAATCTATATAATATTATTATATTTTTATTCCTAAGGATTTTATTTTAAATTAATATTATGTTGATAATTTTTGTTTTAGAAAGGACCGATTATGCGGATTCCATATATTGTTCCAATGGAATACACACAAATCGACTAAAACAGCTTTAAGTTTTCCTATTAAAAATTGAATTATTACGCATTTGAGTTAAGTTTTAGTTAATCAAAAATTTTTTATTTGTTTATTTATATATAAAAATATATTTGTATAAATTAAATAAGTTATACGTGGTTCATATGTTAATGTTTTGTTGAGTACTACATAAAATAAAAATTTATTTTGAATTATTAGTATTTTTGACACTTATTTCAAGTATAATTTCATTTAGTACAATACTGGATTCTATAACTTCGCGTAAGGTATTATTGTCACAATTGACAAACTCTATTTCCACACCAGGAGCTCCTACATAAAAATATACATTTATAACTTAATTATTTTTTTAATTAAAAATATTTTTAAGTTATTTAATTCATACCAATACTTATATTTTTGTAGACCCTCTTAATAATAATAACTGTGATAGTATTTATTGCCTTTTTTAATTACTAAAAAAATTCATTTTTAAGTTAAAACTGAAGAAAATTAATTTTTTTAAATCATTGGTAATCTGAAAGATTCTTAATCCCTAACTTGTTCAGATTAATAAAACCTTACTTTATATATTAAAAGCCTAAAAATTAATTGCTCATGTCATAACAATAAAATTATTTATTTTTAATGGTTTATAAAAATAAAAAATGAGTAATTATTTGCATCGATATATAAAATTAATTAAATTAGACTTCTGCATATTATAACAATAAATTTATGTTAAGCATAAACTACTTTTTTTAACTACTATGTAAAATATGTAATACTAAATTAAAAAAAAAAAAAATTGTTAAGGTTTCTTATTCTACTAAACAATCAAAATTGAAATGGAAATACATAATTTTTTTATAAATTTAATTAACTTACAAATAATCATAAATTAAATACACAAGTACATATTTTAGTAAAATACTGAATATTAACAAAATAACTATGATTGGTTTAGACATACCATAGTTTTGAAAATGATCCCATTGTTCTAGAGCTAATACCATTGTTTTAATTTCTTTATTTTTGTTTTGTTCAACTATGAACTTAAGATGTTTACGGTTAAAATTATCCAGAGTCAACCAATTAAAAAACATCTCTTTGAGTTGAGAAACTAAAAGTTAAATAAATTAAATTCATAATATATTAAAGAATTTAGTCATGTATATTAGATTGTCTTACTAAAAGGTATAAGATCTGTTAATGAAACAACATTTCGGTAAGCTGACATCTTTACTCCATAAATTGTTGCAAAATTAATCTTTTTATTTTATAACTTTAATTTAACAAAAATTATCATGTAAAACCCCATTCCATAGATTGCAAAATATTTGTAGTCTTTGCAAACAGTTATTATCAAATCATAAAAATATTAATATCTATGCAAAAATAGCTATAGATTTCAAAGTAATCACAAACACATGGTACAAACTATAAACTTTTAAATACTGTATTCATAGAATTATTAAAAATCATAATCATAGTTTGATTGATGAACAAAACATTCGTATAATAAATTTAGATCAATATTTTTATAAAAAAGTGTGATTTAAAAACATTAGGAACTTGAATTAAATATTAAGCTACCAATGTGATAAGAGTAAATACACCAAGATAACTTTGATATAAATAAACTTTACTATAGATTTTCATTAGGATAAATAGGAAAATAATGTATTACCATTAAAAAAATTTTGTTGTTCATTAAATCACTAAAATGACCAACATAAAATAAAAAACAACATTTACATAAATTCAAATTAAAATTTATTACGCTTTAGCAACTTTAACAGCGGTCTTTTTTTTTGGGCAATAAGTATTGTTAAAAAGTGCTTGATAAACATTAGTCCTGATCTTGTTTCTGATTTTTCTTGCTCTCTTGAGCTTGAATCTTTCAAAATCACCCAAAGATGCACGCTGAAATTAATAAAATTTTCAAAATTGAGTCCAAAATACTATAGTACATAATATATTGAATAATTTAAAATGTTAACCTTCTCTCTGTTGGCAGCTTTTTCTGCCCATCTGCTTTGAACCCACAATTTGTTTAAATCAGCTTTTTTCCAAGCTTGACGCACAGTCCTGGTTGATCCATTGTAAGGGAAATTAATCTTAAACTTTGTCAAATGAATTTGGCTGATACGCATCTTTGACCTGGGTACTCCAGTTTCTGGTCCATCTACCAAAACCTATTAAAAATAAAAATATGTGATAATGCCAAGTGATTAAATAAATGAATTTAAATACTCACAGTTTTTTGATCAATACAATCAACAATGGAAACTATTTTGCCTTTGTAAGGACCATCAACAACATAGGCCACTCGGCCAGTTTCAACAAACCTCTTGAAAGGCTATAAAAAAAAATATATACATATGTAATTCTATTGTAACAGTATTACCTTAACACTCAATTAAATATAAAATCAAACTCAGTTGAGGTATTCATCAATTAAAATACAGTTAAAAATATAGAATAATAAAATGAGATATAAATTGACAATAAATAGTGCAATAAATTAAGTTTTCATATAATTAATATTAACATGTTAACCACCATGTGACTGCTGGCAATCATCTGTAATTCTCAAATTGTATACATTTATGACCACCAGCGCCCATAGTTCATCATTACTATGCCACATGATTGCTGGAGACCATAAATGAATTTAGTTTTATATTATTAACTTTTCTATGGCACTACAATAAAGCACCAAAATAAAGGACTAGGAAGTATCAGGCACAGCAGGAATTATAACGATTTTTTTTGATATAGGTATCTTATTTGTTTTTTTTCAATTTTTTAAAAATATTTAGTGTACACAAATTTGAAAAACATTGAAAAATGTTTGATGTATAACAAATACTTATTAAATGACTGCCGGCGGTCATATGGCAGTTAACGTGTTAATATATATAAAATCAGTAAGTCAATGATGTAAGTTTAGTTTTGGTTATCTCATAACAAACACAATAAAATTACTCCAGAATTATACATGTATATCATATATACTAATAGCAATGATTAAAATAGAGGATGTTTAAACTTGAATAGTTAAATTTATCAAAATAGCTGACATTTTGCTCCCATCATTTTGTTCCCGTCAAAAAAACTAGTCCACGGACGTTTTATCCTCGGAAGACTTTGATAATCTAAATAATTTTATTTAATGTTTAAATAAAAATACTACAAAATATACTAACCAATAGTAAGATTTAAAAAAATCAAAATGATATCAAATCAACACAAAATGTTGTGAAAACAAATAAATTAAAATTAAATACTATGGTCTATGCCATTAAAATAAATTAGATATTTATTTTTCGTCCTTACTTATATTTTTTTTAATAATATAAAATGTCTCTAATACTTAACTATAGCCTATACACTACCTATATTAGACATGACAACATTTTTCATTAAAAAAAAATGTATTAATTGTAAGTAAAATAATGAACTTTGAAGAAATTAATAAATAATAATGATTTAAAAAAAAATCTGAGAACCTAATATTCCATTATCAAAGTAAACCGAGGACGAACATCCTATGGCTTATAACTCCGGGACGAAACGTCCCATCTTAATAATTATCGGGGACGAAACAGCGGAGGTGAAATATCCGTATACCATATAAAAATAGATCCCAAAAATACAAAAAATTGTTAACTGTCTAAAAATCGTACTGTAAATCGAGGTAAAAATAAACAGACATGTCATTCACATGATACGTATAGTACAAACATGTTATACTCAAGTATGTTATATAAAAAAAACATATAGAAAATCTAGTTATTAACATGCAAACGTCGTAATCTTATATAGAAATTAATACATAAACGATAACTTACCATTTTTCCGAAATTCGGCTCACTTACACGTCAATTGTCGAACCTAAAAGAATGAAAAACTAAAAGTCTGGAACGGTGGTATTCAGTAGACAATCATAACCTCACATTAATTGTAATAAAAAAATAAATACAACACAACTTTCATGGAACATAATTCAATATTTATCGTTTCCGCCATGAAGTTAACAAAATAACGGAGGCAAATGGGTACCACTCGACACTCTGCAGCCTGCTTGCTGTGCAGTATCAGTTGCCGCAGTGCAAAGCAAAGTTAGTATATCTTATTAGTTATTATTATCTTATAATTTACTATATAATATTATTATTATATAATGAATTATAATTTATATTATTGTTATTATTGAGTTTATTTATAGTGTCATTATACCATAAAACAGTTTGAATAGTAAATAGATTCATAATATAAAAGTATAAAACTATAAATAGATAATGTTTTAAAATTAACATACCTACGAGTTGTGTAAAAAAAATAAAATTCATAATATAAGTTAAAAACTTAAAGTACCACAAATAATATTTTTAAATTAAAATAAAATAAATAAAATCATTACATGTCGTTAAGTACATAATTTCATCCATATTTGAACTTAAAAATGTCTATTAAAAAAAACTAGTATGTAATGAATACATTTAAAATATTTTGGTTACGGTATTAATTTCTGATAAGAAACTTTGCATTTAATTTTAATATCTTGACTATAAAAAGTAAATATTCTATATATTTTTAACTTCAATATAATTTGTTAATTTTTGTGATTTTGACGAAACTTGAACTTCAAATACTTATAAATAAAAATTATGCCAATGTGTCTTTAATAATTTTAAATGACTACAATTAAAATTTATAAAAAACTTTGTATCAATCTGTTTGATTCCAGCAAAAATAAAAAAAATTTATAATTTACAAAAACTAAAAAAAATTAAAAATTTCCATGTTTCTATTAATACTTAATAACTTAAAAAAAAAACCAAAATATTAAGAAAACTCTATTATAAATTTTTGATGAAAATCTCACGTATAAATACAGTTACCTGTTCGTTTTTTGATGCAATTAAAAAACGAAACTAATTTTATTGAAAACTAGTTTTGTGTACAGATTTTTTCTTATTTGTTTTTTTTTGTTTTATTTTTTCTCTTTGTTAATTTTGTAAAGTACTGTGAATTATGCTAAATCAAACTACTTAATAATAATTTTAACCCCTTAAAGTATCAACTAGATTCTTTTTCCTATCATAAAATGTATTGATGTTAAAAATCTAAGCATTTTTACTGAAACAATAAGTGACATCGATGACAGACTAAAAAAAAAAAAAGAATCATTTTTAATTACATACGTTGATTACTCCATTTAGAATTTTAATAGAATAATTTTTTCAAAGTTAGAAGATGATATGGGGAAAAATGAAGACGACTTACTATATAGCTACTAAAAAAATTAAATATTTTAATCAATAACAACATACTGCAGCAATTATTATTGTGAATAAAGCTTACACGTGTTTAGATACTTCATACTAAACAATGTGTTAGATACATAAAAAATAACAAAAATAAATCCATTATGAATACCTAAATAATATAATATAATCGTATTCAGTTATTAACAAATTACAATTTGTGAAATTTATTTTTAAAAAAATAATTGGTCGAAATTAAATAGGTTCTGCGTAGCACTTAACGCGCTTTCAAAATGTGTATCATGAAAAATTACAAAAAAGTGGTATGCTATAATATGCACCAAACTGACACTATTTGTATTGTTTAGGTACTGTTTAATTTGCATATCATGGTCATTTTGAACAGTGAGATAAACTGGGTAATATATATTAAAAGATGAAATAAAATTTTACTTAAAATCTAAGATCAAATAGCGTTTACGATCAGTATTAGTTTGGTGACATTTAAAAATATACTATATATGATGGACAATTTTAAAAATCAAAGAAATACCTAATTGAAATAGTTAATATATGTATTCAAAGTTTTCTTGAGATCATCTACTTCTCTTGATTTCTTATTTTGATTATACAAGAATTAGCAGATTAGCTGTGTAATATTTATCTATTACTAATTTATTTCTGTATACAATCTACAATCAAATTATACATATGATTAAATCCAACTAGGTACCTATTAAAATTTTTAGTAGCTAGTAATTATGTAAAATATACATTTATCTTTACTAAAATAATAAAAACTGTCTGTGTTTTTCATTTTTTCTATGTGATAAATTAAAGGATCTCACCACCATAATTTTAATCTTCTATCTGTGGTACTGCAGCGGACGAATTTAGAAAAAAGTAGCCACGGTAAAATTTCCATGAAAAACAAAGTCGCATAATTATTTTAAATAAATACAGTCACAAAATTGTCACGAACCTTACGTTATGATATATTTACATAAGTAAATGTCTATCTTGTAATCTTGTATTTACTAATTATTACCATCTGGCATCCATAATTAATTTCCACATATTACACACAAATTATAGTCCTCGAAGGACTGCAGCTTCATGCTGTCTGTTATTTTGTGAAAAAATTAACCATAATGAATTTGTTTTAAACAAAAAAATCACTCGCATAATTGTATACCGGTATGATACAATAAACTATGATCATGGACTTGTTAACTCTATCTTAAAGACCTAATACATGGTCAATTTTAGTGATGTATCAATATAGTATTATTAACTGTATTAAAACATTCAAGACAATTTTGATATTTATTGACGAATCATTAATGATACGATTAAAAATTGTTCGCGTGTAAGGGGCTCTTTAATTATCCGTGACTGACTAATCAGTAAAAACTGGACACACCAGTACACCACAGAATATACTTTACAAATATTTTTGTTATATCTGTAAAGCATACAGAAACGCCGCGCTTTTCCGTCCACGGATTACTTATCGATTTTTCCTCCAAGGACAAACACGTATCATCATTCATCGTTACAATTGCTTATCGCGGAACGGGGTGGTGTGGTACTGGGGCGGCGGATACACAGTTTGTAATTTGTGTTTCGTTGTTGTTCGAGGCCATTTTGCTAATGTTTATTAGGAATTAGGAGTTTCTAACGTTTGTGTTCAATCACCCCGTTTCCTGGAGCTTCATATCGGAATCTTCACTCTTCCGTCATCCGCACGCGCATTGATAATCAACACGATGGCTTACAGATCTAGGTAACTATGGACAGTAAACAAACTGCGATATTTTGAATGAATAGGAAGTACAATAAATTGTTGTTGTTATTTGTTGTTTTACTGTGCATTGGTGGCCAAATCGAAATACTTTGAGTATCTTAACATTTCTCTGTGTGCCTTGAGGTCGTTATCCATTAATTCATTGCTTGAAACTATGTACATTTAATTATTAATTAATTAATTAAATTTATTTTTGTGTTAAGTCGTGGTGGTTTTAGCAACACGAGAGGAGGAAATCGTGGGACTTCTTACAACTCGAATTATGGCAGTCCAAGAGGTAGTCGTGGGGGAAATAATTACAACGACAGTTACAGAAGCAGAGGTAATAATTCATTTCGTGGATCTCGGGGAAGCATTCGAGGAAATAGTGGATCTTGGTCCAGTAGTTCACCATCAACCGGTGGTTATAGTAGCATGAATCGCAACAGTGGATCTAACTGGTCATCTCAAGGAGACTCTAACTATGAATCAAGAAACCGCTATTCTAGTAAGGATTACATCTTAAGTTATACGCATAAATGTTATTGTAAAATAATCTTACCTACCTACCTACTTTCTTTCATTGTATACTTTTGTATCATGGATAGAACTAAATGTTTATTTTAATTTAAAAAAAAGAGTAGTCATTTTGTATAATTTAATAAATGGTATATTATAACAATATCATAGAACCTAAGTATCGAGGGTTTTAAGATTATTGTCATTCTTTAATAACAATTTGTAATTAAATCAATAGTTAAATTATTTTATGTTTGTTTCAATTCCATTAATTTCATTTTATTGGTAGGTAGATGCATTCAATTTTATTTAATTTCAATAGAATATTTTAATTTTGATTATTTTATCTATTGTTTTTTTTATAATTTAATCAGAATTTAAAAATAATAAATACATATTATTTTTTTTTATCTGATAATTTATCAGGTTTGACTAAATCTTAATTTGTTACAGTAACTATATGTTAAGGTAGTTTTCAACAAATTAGTCATTAAAAAAAATATTACTATTTTGTACCTAGCCATCATAATAATTTTAACTAAATTTTACTTAGTATATTTGTTAATTTTTTATATGAAATGAATTTAATCAGACTATTAATTATTATATATAATATATAGGTACTTATTGTTATTAATATTTTAAATTTTAGGTAATAATGATCGATATTCAAGTAGTCATAATGATGACTATAGGCGGTATAAAGAGGTATGTTAATAATATAAAATAACTATTCGTGATTTCAATTTACAATGTATTGGATATCACATAAAAATACTTTGTTTTTCTTAGTAAATCTATTTCTTGCATTTGTTTTAGTAAAACATGTTAAATGTAATTTAAAAGTATAAATAATAATAAGTTTATTACATAGAAATTAATGATTATAATTGTTTATTTTAGTACACAATATCATTTTGAAAATTTTAACAGAATTAGTAAATTCTATATTCATTATATTAATGTAGTATTTGCAATATGTAAGTCAGGTCATGTATATATGCATATTGCATTTTAAATATAAACCGAAGTTAAATATATGTATATTTAAAGTCCTATGTAGGTATTTAATGAGAAAAATATTTAACCTGATAAAAAAAGAATTATAGTTTCATACATATTTTATTTAATGGCACTCCAAGTATTTTCAACTAAAATAATTTTGTTTTTCTGTTACAACCATTTTAACATTACTAATTTTTGTTTAAGAATATTAGTAAAACATATACAGTCATGTTCTATTACAATTTTTAAAAATGCTATAGAAACAGAATAAATAATATAATTTTTTGAATTATTTGAAATACTGTTAATACTTCATGTTGTATTGGATCTGCACAAATACTTTTGTATGTTGCTACTACAAATAAATAAACTGAATTG